TTTCCATCAGAATAAATTTTAACAGATAACATCACAGAATCATAGAATATCCCGAGCTGGAAAGGATGCACAAGGATCACCGAAGGCCAGCTACTGGTCCACACAGGACCATCCCCACGAATCACACAATGTGCATGGGAGTATCATCCAAGGGCTTCTTGAAATTTTGTAGGTTTGGTGCCATGATCACTTCCCTGCAAAGACAGTTCCAGCACTCAATCATCCTCTGGGTTAAGAACCTTTTCTTAATATCTAATCTAAATCTCCCCTGACATTATCTTGCAATTCCCTTGTGTACTATCACTAGTTATCAGACAGAAAAGACCAGTTCCTGCCCCTGCACTCTCTGTTGTGAGGAAACTGTAGGCTGCAATGACATCTCTCTCCCCTCAGTCTCTTCTTCTTTAGACTGAACAAGCCAAGTGACCTCAGTAAATCCTCATATGGCTTCTCTTCATCCCATCACCATGGCTGACTCAGAACAGAAAAGTGTGGAGACAGTATTATTGGTGTTCTGCAATGTTCCACTTGACATGCCTTCTCTGGCCCCAGTGTCCCTGGAGCTTTGGGTTTTCTGGATCCCTGAACTCTAATCATAAATGTAATAGAAGCTTGGCGTTGGAGCTGAAGTTCTCTACACGATTGGGTGGCCCAGAAAAGAAAGATGGAAATGTTGATGCCCTGCTGTGGTCCCCTTGGCATGATTCTTCCAGCCTCAGTGTTCCTAAAGCTGTAGGCTTTCTGGGTTTCTGAATCCTAACTCTAACTGTAATGGTGGCTTGGTTTTGAGGCTGAGGTCCCCATAACCATGAGTAGCCCAGATGAGAAAGGTGTGAAGGCAGCATTGTTTTTGCTGTGCTGTGCTTCCCTTAGAATGACTTTTCCAGCCCTGGGGTCTCTGGAGCTGTAGTCTTTCTGACTCCTCAGACTCTAATCCTAGCCATACTGGCAGCTTGGCATTGAGTTCCCTACCACCATGAGTGGCTCAAAGTAGATAAGTGTGGAGGCAGCAATGTTGGTGCCCTTCCATGTTCCACTTGGCATGACTTTTCCACCTGCAATGTCTGCTTTCCTGGAGGCTTATTGACCCTCTGAACCCTACCCCAAACTTATTGTTAGCTTAGTGTTGAGTCTGAGGTCCACATTGCGAAGGAATCACAAAACTGTGGAGGCAGGAATATTGGGGCCCTGCAGAGATCTCCTTGGTATGTCTATTCCATCTCCAAGGTCCCTAGAACTATTTAGCTCTGTGGCTTTCAGAACCCTAACCCTAATGGGAGCTTGGCACTATGGTTGAGGTCCAATCACTAGGGGTGGCCGAGATTAGAAAGGTGTGGAGCCAGCAATATTAGTGTCCTACCATGCTCTGCATAGGTGTTTTCTCTAGCCCTGTGGTCCCTGAAGCTGTAGGCTTTCTGGCTTTCTGAACCTTAACCCTACTTCTAACAAATCTTGGGGTCCCCATCACCATGGGTAGCCCAGACTAGAAAGGTGTGAAGGCAGCAATTTTGGGGCCCTGCTGTGGTCCCTTTGGCATGCCTTTTTCAGCACTAGTGTCCCCTGAGCTGTAGGCTCTGTGGCTCTTTGAATCCTAACCATAACCATAACCATGACCATACTGGAAGCTGGCACTGAGGTCATAGAGTCATAGAATATTATAGTCACAAAATCATAGATTATCCTGAGTTGGAAAGGCCCTGTAAGGTCCAGTCTCCATTTATCTTGCCATAATAATTTTAATGATGCTTTCTCATAAATAAGTAATATATTGTTTTCCCTGGATATATTTTTATATTTTTCATTTTAATTATTTTTGTCAATACTGAAAAAAGGAAAGTACATAACCATGTACAGAACTCATCATAAGGATGGCCAGCTTTAACAGAATAAGAAACACAACATAATTGAATTAATGAAACTTCTTCTCCATAGACATTCTGAACCCACCTAGAGCCTTAATCATATCTGGGGGCAGAGCAGAATCTGCCAAGCAGAGTACAAGGTGTGCAGTTACAGCAGTTTCCAGAGCAGCAGGAGTTAACAGGCATCTCAGGCATGGACATCTCATTGCAAAACAGCTTAGAGAAAATGGGGACTAATTGAACTTTACTCTTCTTTATGGTTGGCTGGTCAGGCTAATCAAAGCTCCTCACACTTGAGTAAAGTCTAGGAAACTGCTCAGGACCCACACTTCTCTGCTAAGCATCCAACCATGGAAGTAAAATAGCTCTGGTATAAGCTAAAGGGAAAGGACAGTAGGTCATAAATTTCTTCCCTCGTTCCTCCTAACAACACCCACATCAGTTTTCTAGCAATATTCAAATCATCAGTCCATTTTTTCTCCAGATGTTGACTTGTTTTAGCTACAAAGTGAGCTTTAAAAACAGGCTGAGGAATGCTATGTAAATTCTTTTGAGTTCATCCTTGACTGGATTTACCCCAATTTATATCCTGTAAGATTTTGTTTGAAATAGCCAGAAATACAACTTTATCTGGTTTTGTTTTTTTTCTGTATCTGCTGCCAGTTCTATATTACTGTTATGCACATAATGTATAGTGTCCCACAAAGGACTACCAGAACATTCTGAGAAACTAAACATTGTAGATGTTTGTGCTTACGTCCTTCAGACTCAAAGCTAAGTGCCACAGTCTGAGCTTCTGGAGACTTGAGGAGCAGAACAAGTAGACAGATAGAGAAAAATACATAGTTCTGACAGAAAGCTACATGAAATGAAAGTAGAGCATGTTGGCAAAAATTTGTTTGATTTTAGTAAATCTGAACATTACAAAGAAAGTAATACAAGCAAATGGCGGACAGCGATACATAATACTGCACATTTTCTACCTATGTCCAAGGAACATTTTTCTATCTCTCTCCTTCCCCTTCCCACTATTCAAAGTTTTTTTGAAGGTCTATAAGAAAATAAAATTGATTTCAGCTTCCAAAACTAGAAGTTCATTTAAGAGACAAAACATTCAAAGTTAATAGATATGCAAATATGCAACACTGCATCAAATTAACAAAGTTTAGAGCAATACCTTACAACCATACTCCTGATCAAAACTAACTTGATGAAGAATGCAGTATCTTCCTACTCAAAAGCAAATAAGTATGTCAGTCCGTTTATTTTTATGAACATCTGATCTCTCCATTTTTTGTTTAAAGGGGAGAAGAAAGATAGGAAGCAAAATTTAAGGACCTTTTCTGGTATAAATCTGGGTAATGAAGTACTGTTACCTAATTTAAAAGAAAAAAACACCATAACAAGTCAGTACAGGGAGACCTTTGAGTGCACAATTAGACTCTTTGACATCTTGTACCTAGAGGAAAAAAAAATGCTGAGTTGTTTTCTGCATCAAAGTAAAATATACTGTGGTTATAAATATGTTTTCTCACATGATGTCTGATTTTTGCTTCACCATGTTCTCTGGAATATTATATTTTTAACTAAAGGGATACCAAATTACTAGACCCACAAGCTGCAAATATTAAACATGCCTGGGCCATCCTCTAGCACTGAAGTGGATGGCAAAGAATTACCTGTGTTCATACTGGATAATTCATTTACCCACCAATACTGCCTACTGGGAATCTTTTCTTCCCTGTATTAATTCTCAAAAATTTGCGTGGTCCAGACCTGTGCCATGGACCGGTTTGATCATTTTAATAATATAATAATTTAATACTATAGATGACTGAGTTCTTTAAAGAACTCATATTTAAGAGTTGATAGTGAAGTTGTAATATGCATGGTGTTGGCATTGTATTTTAAAAGCAGGTACTTAAAGGAGTAGATTTTTTAAGCAACATATTGAGACAAAGTCAAAGAATTTTTTTCCTGCTGAGTTTATACAGTAATGCCTGAACACAGACAAAAAAAAACAACAAACCAAGTCCACTTTATAGTTCACTAGGGGAAATAATGAATTTGTCCAGATATGAAACATAATAGAGTTATTTACTAAATAACAAACTTATTCAAAGGACAAAAAACTAACATAAGAACTTGTACTAATCTAAGGAACTATGCATTTTGTGTCCAAGCTACACAGAGTATTGGTTCTAGCTCCACATGTGATTTATGTGATCCACATTTATGTGATCTACATAAATGGATTAAGCTAATGAGTGTAAGTGGAAACAAGAGTTGTTCAGACAAGATGTTCATTTAAGGGGAAACTTTTTTCACCATGAGGAGAGTCAAGCACTGAAAACCGGTTTTCTAGAGACAGTGTTCAGTCTCCATCCTTGGAGATGATTAAGACTCAAATGGCAACTTGACCTCATGCCTGATTCTACCTTTACTAGAGACCCTCTGAATTTGAATCATCATATGAGCCTATGATTTTAGTAGTGGAAAAGACTGTTTAAATTTTAGAAAAGAGCAGTGAAGTATTATAGTTTATTTATTTAAGTGATTTAGCTTGTTTTCACTCTCTTATCTGCTCACTCATAAGCATCAAGAAACATATACCTAAGTAGTTTGTTCAGTACTCAGACTCCAAGGTATGTATAACCAAGTGATCTGTCTGGCCTTCAGGCCCTGAGATATATGTATTCATGCTGTCTACACACATAGCCTTGTAATGAAATGAAAGGCAGATGATGGCATCGATCAAGTTCTGATCATATCTTCTTGGTTCTTCTTAAACTGATGATAATGCACTGGGTTTGGATGTATCTTTTTTGTAATCTTTGATACATGACAGTGCTGAGCCTTTCCATCCTGCATCAGCAACCACAGTCCTTTCTTTCCCAGGTTGTGTGTCCTAAGAAGCTGCACAAATACGTTTTGCAATCTTGTTGACCTATTAGTCTCTTTGGCATCAATATATATTATTGTAGGCTTCTGTAATTTCTTCTGGTGCTCCTACACCCAGATATTCACATAAATTTTCCATTCATAGGATTTTAATGATCCATTACAATTCTCTACAAAGTAATTAATGATAACATTATAAAACCAGTATTTCTTACTTTTGAAATTCATCAGGTATATCACTGTTTGATCAGATCTAACAATGAGAATTGCCAGACTGGAAAAGAGTGGAAGGATAGTTCAAGAGCAGTTTGTAATAAAAGGCTTAGAAAGGTATTCAGAAAAGAAAGAGAAGCAGAACTTAGAAAATAAAACTGCGTTTGAAAGAATCAGATGGAAGAACGATACATCCATAACCCAAGCTATTTTCACAGTAATGTAAGTTCACTTATTCATAGTACAACAAAATTTATTAAAATAATGGACGGAAGTGGGAATGTTCCTAATTTGGAACTAGAATTTGAAGGGAAAACAAGTTTTAGTTTGTTCTATGTTCTATCATATAATTCTTATCAGTAACAATCAAATATGGAAGTGTACATGAATATGAAAAGTTTTCTGAAAGCAAAATTAAACTGTGATTAATAAGAATAGAATTCCCCTGAAGAGCAGAAAGCCTGGTTAAATTATGCACTGAATAGAAGAATTCTGATATACTTACAACAAATATACAAACTATACAAATTTCTACTGGGAATAACAGAAGAACATTGTGGGGAGAAGCGGCAGGCCTGTTAAGCCCCTAGAAGTTGAACCCATAGAATGAGCATAATATATTGGATGGCATAATACCGTTCCCCTGAGAGCAGAGAAGCTAATTGACCATTCCCATGAACAGTGCAACCTTGAGAAGTTGGGAGTTAATTGGAAAGTTGATAAGTAGGTTTAGGGAGGATAAAACATATAAGGACAAAAACGTTGGCTATGTTCATGGTGCAGGTGTATGGTGGTGGTGTTTTGTAGAAATTATATTATTTACAAAAAGTGTGTGAAAAAATGTGGGCTAGCTGTCCTAATAAAGGATGCTGCTGAGCTGAGGCGACAGACAGTACTTGTCTCAACTTCTTGTGCGGTGTGTGCTTTTCTATATCGGCCAAACCTTACTACTACGATAGCTACTCTGCGACAGAAAATCTTTTCAAAGCAGTTATAACAGGTTTCCTTCCAATTTATTGCAAAGGATAGCAAGAGTTACTCATGTCTTTGACTAATGAACTCACTTGACATCAGTGAAGGACTCCAGCTATTTGGATTAGGTCAATTTTGCTGAAATGTTCTTTAGATTTAATAGCTAATAAAAGTCTGAATGAGCGTCAATTCAGTAACGTACTTAATGTATAAAATTATATGAAATAAGATTATAAATTCTTATTTTAAAATAGAATGACTCTATAACCTAGAGACCTAGGTTAGGCTTTTTTTAAACTCTTTTAAACTAAGAGTTCCATTTAAGCAACAAAATAAAATGAAAATATGAAATAGAAAAAGAAAAAAAATGCCATTATATCTACTAAGAAAAGACAGCTCTACAAACAAACTTCATCCAAAGTTCAGCCAAGTTCAGAGAGACTTACATTTAAAAAAACTGTAGATAATCTCCAATGACCTTTGAAATGTCAAAATTTTCTGTCTTGGCTTTTTGTTTCCCTGTGTGGTCAGTTTCTGAATTACGATGAATTAAATTTTATATCCCTGTAGGCAAATTGTTCAGATAATAGGGATCTGGCTTTTGTTTGTTCGTTTGCAGTTGTTTGGTTTTGTGGGTTTGTTTCAGTTTGGTTTTTTACTCATAAGTATCCTATGAACATTCTTTGTGATGGAGCCCTGCTTTCCTGGAGATGGCCAAGCACCTGCTGTTGTGCTCAGGATTAAGTTATAAGCTTAATTTAGTAAGAAAAAATAGGATATTTTTGCAAAAAGTTTTTACAGGAGTAAAATACAACCAAGAAAAAAGCAATTCAGCAAAACATTCAGCACAAAGACCCATTCCACAAGAAACACCCACTAAAACAATCCAAGCTTTAGTAAAACACGGTTCATTGGTTTTAAGTTACCCACAAGAGAAGGAAAAGAAATGGAAGAAAGCAGATTAAAAGAGGTAAAGAAAGAGAGAAGAAAGGGAGAAGGAGAGAAAGGAGACCAGTTACCGACAAGATTCCATGACTCATATGGTAATGGCTGGAGAGGTAGAAAAGAGAGAGAGAGAGAGAGAGAGAGACACTACATGGAGTCTTGAGTATTTGTAGAATTCAGTTTTCACTCCCAGGCAGGATATCCCGTCAGTGCTTTGCTTGTGTCTTCAGCTTTTGCTTTATGTACCCAACTGCTTTTATTTCAACCCATAAATTTTCCAGTTTTACTCTTGTGATTCTCTGCCTAATGATTCTCTCCACTGTTCCATCTCATGTGTCTGCGGGAGGGTAGTAAGCAAGCAGCTGTGTGGGGCATAGCTGGGATTAAACCATGACACTGTCCTAAATCACTTACACATATTTAGCACATTTTAACACCATTGTAGTACTTCGTTAAATTCAGGGGGGAGGGGAGAATTGTCGCTTTTTGGTGTTTGTATGGGGTTTTTACAAAAAAACCACTAAAAAGCAAAGCCTAATAAAGCAAAACAGCAGATAACTCTGGGGTGAATTATTAATACCTATGTAACCATCATACCAAGAGGGAAAAATTTCTTTCTTTTTTTTCTGTCAAAGGAATACATTTTTGCTACCTATTTATTTTGTACACAAAAGAAATATGGCAAAATGGTGAAGTTCAGATTTCAAAATTAGTACTTTATTCTGCACTTCAGTATATTATTCTTGAAGATCATTGTTTTAAATTATAAAAAATATAACATGATACAGTTGTAGTGAAATCCAAGGGTCAACATTTTTAATGGAGAAATTCTGTTTTACAGATACCTACATAAGCAGAGTATTTGTTCTCAGTGAAGTTAATAATATGAAGTAATGGTATGTAGAACTAGTATGTTTAACTTAGTAGTATGGATGTGGCCTATGTTTTCACACTGCCTGCTTGCCTTGCTCCCTGTTTCTTCATAGTGTCCTGTTCCCTTAATCATCCTCATGTATACATACTCCCCCTAGGAGTGACCCAGATATTTTCTTGCAAAAAACAAAGTCATGTAAGAATTGGAAGAATAGCTTTTCCCTAGTCTGTCCCAAACACATAGTATGAATGTGTTTTGTATGAATTCTTCCCCTGGCATAGTCCTCTACCACGATCTGAACTGGGTTTGCACCTTACAGTATGTCAACATGTCCTTACACTGTGCCCCGAGGCAACACATGATGCCCTCTGATTAAAGGCATCACTCTTTCATTATGTTAAATGCTTTGAACTGTAAAAAGCACATAAAAAGCATGTCTCAAGAAAACTCGTTTCAAATGCCACTGACTCTCTATTAGCCATCAGTCCAGTTCTGACAGGGCTAGAAGGGTAATGCCTCTGTGGCTGGATGCATAGCCAGCTCCTTCACCCAGAGTGTTTTCCCTGTGCTGGAAAACAACCACAGGAATACAGTCATATGCTTAGGCTCTTCATAACAAAAACTTTAGGACTGTCTCTTCCTTCAAAAAAGGAGTTGTGACTTTATTATTCCTAAAAATTTCTAAAGAGAGAAAAGAGTCTTCAACCTAGCTGTGAAAGACTTTGTTTTGTACTAAATTGTCTCTTCTGTATGAGCTGGTGCTCTTGAATCTCTTCTAGCTTCCAGGAGAGGATCCTATCACTCAAGATATATGTATAAAATTAGTCTAGGTGATGTCATCTTTTACTGCCCATACTTCTCTAGGTTGCAGCCCAGAAAAAAGTGCCTGTTCTGAAAAATACTCATTTTATCTAATATCTCATAGCTGATGTCATTATGACATGTATTTTAAAAGGGAAGATGGAACATTTACTTCAGATTTGGATGCTGATCAAAATCATTGTCATGCATATATAATTAAAATTAAAATTTAAAAATTATTTTGTCTACTTTAAAAATCTGATTCTAACTGCTCATTTTCCCTGTCAAAGATTTCCAAGCAAATTATATGGAACATTCTAGCTGTAGGTAGAACAATCTCTCAAAAAATTAAATACTTTTAATAGTTTAACATTTCTTTGTAGCAGAAATGTAAGCACAGTGTGCGTATCAGAGAGAAAAAAAAAGAAGAAAAATGCCTGCTGCTTAATTATGAGAGGGTTTTTTTCACAAGTCTTATTAGTACATGAGACAGAAAAGGGGATCTGTTTCTTCCAAGCCTCCTAGTAACACTATGCCTCAAAAAGATAGGCATCAAAAGTTCTGAAAGTGTTTTCACTAGAGATGCTGTTGCTGCAAGCTCTTCTGTATCACTTCTATGGTGTGACTGCTCTTTACATGTAGCAGCAGACTATTAAGATATCTGATATCCAGCAGGTTGTTCTGAGATGTGGGTGTAAGAGAACATTCACATACAAGAGTTAAACTACTCACTCTGTAACTAATACTGCTGTGGTTATATATTTTCATGACATAACTGCAGACGAATGTTATGGCAAGGTTATAATTGGATACAGTCTATCTTTTCCAGAAGACGAAAATATACAAGCAACACTGTAACCACATCATCTTTTTCATGCTGAACAAACAATGTTTGAAAGCACCTGAAGGCTCACTGCTGCTTTTCCTCTCTGTGACAGCACACAGCACTAATTTATGCAGAATACTGAGTCATTGTACACCTAGCACAAAGTGCATTTAATTCTGTAATACCTCATAATAAACCAGATGAATCATGTACAAAAACTTCCTCAACTGCATTATTTCATTTGATGAATGCTTTTAAAATACTGCCAGGTATCTTCACAGTTTATTAACTTAATACAAAGGATCTACCACTATAGGATTTTCATGGTTGTAGTTGTGTGAAGATACTTTTTTTATCCACCTGAAGGAAGTATGAATAAACTGCTGAGAGCAGTCTTCTATTGCCAGAAAAATTATATATATATATAAAAAAAAGCCACACTGCTTCACAAATATGAACTTTGGAAAAAAGATTTCTAAGTGTTCCAAATGAACAAAATGTTATCCAGAAGGAATAAAAGAAAAAATGCAGTTTGTTAGTTAAGATCCAGTTACTAAAATGATTAGAGAGATGACTCTGCCCGAAATAAGGTGCGAGACCATATGCCAAAGTCAATAGTATGGACTTTATTTAACAGTAAATGTGAGGCAGACAGAGATAGAAAGAAATAAGAAAAAGGAGTGGGCAGGGAAGAAAGAGAGTGACAGAGAGAACTGTGGAACCTGGCGGCATCCCTTGAGTTCTGCTCTTCTAGTCTTCTCAGTGGTGAGAGTTCCATAAAACACAGAGTCCAGTTATGTTAATATACATTCAGGAGATGCCCAGACACCTTCCCTGGGGTGGGGAGGGGAAGTTTTACAGTCTCTTGTAACAGGCTCTGGATTTATTGCATCACTTGGATCACATGCAGTCCTCTGGTGGTGAAAGGCTTCATGACTGAGTCTAGGGAGTGCTTTGGGGGTCTTTAATGGTTTATGACCCCTTCTCAACTGTCTCTCACATGAACATGTGTGTATGTGGTCTTCCCGTAGTGGGGGGAGTTACTCTTTCTGTTTTGTGTGGAGAGATTTCGCCATGCCACACCCAAACCCCTCTTCCTCCTCCATACCCTGAGCCCAGCTAGAGCTGATTCTTAGCACAGCAGCTGAGTTTGGCTTTCTTTGTGACCACATTCTTGTTCCTTGAGCTTTGTTTACTTCTCCTTACACCTGAGATAATTGGACAATAATCTTATCTCAGGTTCCCATCACAATTAAAAGTCCAGTCAGGAGGCATATTCAGGAGAGGGGGAGATAAAGGGGAGATAGGCTTCCATGGTTGCAGATGGATGTTGCTTCTTTGTAGTTTGACAAAAAGTCTTTCTATGATTTTTACAATGTTTAAGACATTAACATTTCAGTCTCTTACACAGTTTTTATGCTTATAACAACTGATGCTCAATGGTATCTTAACAATTCTAACAAATATGAAGCTGGGTAAGAATAGCATGTGGCTTGTGTGGCTGAACAAGGAGCTCCTCATCGACCTCAAACAGGAAGAGGGAATCCTACAGGGATGGGGAGTGACAACCTGTGAGGAATGCAGAAACATTGTCTGAGCATCCAGGGATGGAGTTAGGAACTCTAAATCCCAAATGGAACTGTATCTGGACAAGGATGTCAAAGAAAGGAAAAAGGGCTTCCATAAGCACAGAGGTAACTAAAGAAAGACTAGAGGAAATGTGAGCCCATTGCTCAACGTGACAGGGGACCTGGAAAAGGCTCAGGTACTGAAGGTCTTCTTTCCCTCAGTCTTTGCTAGCAAGACTGTTGTTCAGAACACTAAGATCCCAGGGAGCAAGGAAAAAGGCTGGAGCAAGGAAATTATACAGTGGGTGGAAGAGTATCAGATCAGGCAGTACTTGTGCAAAATGGATATACATTAAGTTCATGGGCCCTGATAGGATGCACCCATTAGTTGAGGGAGCTGATCATGGTGATTAGGAGAAGTGCTAGAAAACTGATGGAAAGCAAGGTTGAGGAGGACTCAGGGAACTACAGACCAGTAAGTCTCACCTCATTCCCTGGGAAGCTGATGAAGCAGCTAATCCTGAAAAGCATTTCCAGGCCAATTAAGGATGAGAAAATACTCAGGATGGATAAGCACAACTTCAGCAAGCAGAAATCTGTTTGATGATCTTGATAAAATTCTATGCTGAAGTGGTAGATGAGGGAAGATCGCCTGGTAAATGAGGGAAGAGAAGTATATGTTTAATACCTGGACTTCAGCAAGCCTTTTGATGCTGTCTTCCATAATAGGGTCATAGAGAAGCTGTTAATGTATAGACTAGATGATCAGACAGTGAAGTGAATTGAAAACTGACAGAATGGTCGAGGCCTGAGTGTGGTGATCAGTGATGCAAACTCTAATTGGAAGCTTGTAGCTAGTGATGTAATCCAAGTGATGTAACAGCTGATTGGATACCTTTAAGGGCTGGTTTATTTGCAGTTTTTCTGCATGCTGTTGTTGGCACAAAAATTTAGCTTGAATCACAGGTAGTATTTGTGTCTGTTTAGAAACTGACAAAGGGTAGCTGGATTGTTCACTGACCTTCTTGTCATTCAAGCTGTTAAACACGTACAAATGTATCAACAAAATAGATATAAAACCTGTCTGCTACATTCGTGATTAGAAGACACTACAGAAAACAGATTGCTAAGGCAGAAATGAGTTGTTCAGGTTGCTTGTCATTGTTCAATGCCAGTTGATAGAGCGATTGAGCCACACAGGTACGTGTCACATGCAGGCTGACTGGCTATGCAAGAAGAACGTTTTGAACCATAGCAGGCCTTAACCTAAAAACATTGCTTTTGCATCTTAAAAAAAAAAAACAAACCAGAAAACAACGACAACAACAACAAAACAAACAAACCCAAACTCCAAAAAAGGTGATATCTACTATCTGCTGCTTTAGAGATGTGACATGCAACAAGATGATAGTGTCAGCACAAGTGTGGACCTTGTTTTCTTTTCTTATTTTTTCTCAGTATTATAGGGGGAATGCTAGCAAATGGATTCTCATGAAGTCAAAAGTACTTAAATTCCCTTTGTTGATCAGACTTTTTTTTCTTGACATGAGTACTGGAAGGGTGAAACCTTGGTATATTCCTCCTAAATCTAAACTTCCAGATTACTTCTTTTCCTGCTGATTTCTCTTGGTGTTTATGTGACATCCTGGAAATCTTGACATTGTCAGGGAAAAACCTGAAAAAATACATTAGATTAGCTGTCTCAATTCTGAAGTTAAAATATAATTTTTTGAATGTTTACAATATGCAACTATATAATAAAATCATTATCTAATTACAATATATTTTTTAATAGTAAATTCAATTTTGGGGAATTATTTTTATCTGAAATGTATCCATGTTCAAAGGATGAAATTACAATCCATGATCTTTATAGGTCAGGTATTGAAAAGAACAAGACCTCTAGTTCTCACTAAAAATTTCACTGTGTACATTTCATTAGATAATACTTACTTTATTTTTTTTTTAGGTTCTTCTTCAGTGATCTCTTAAACTTATAACTTCAAACCTTAAATTTCCATTTTCAGCTACCACTTAACCTGGAGGTGTCTAAACTAGCCAGAAAGCTTTTATTTTCCTAAGTTCTGCACTAGTCTGGTTTCATTCATGTATGGTTTAATTTTCTCAAATTATCAGAAAAGGAAAGAATTTTATTTTTTAGTCTTGTGGAATATACATGGACCAGAAATAGAAATCAAAATTGCTATTTTAGCTTAAAACTTCTGCATGTTATCCATTCTCTTTCTTAAAATGTCAATGATTAAAAAATCCCTCCAAACCTGAAATTGGAGTTAAGGTCCTAACTTTTTTTACTCTTCCAAAGCCAATTAGTCTCAAATAGTTTATAGTACATCTTATTAGGTGTGGCTGAGCATCATCCCCACATTCAGGACAACACATCCTGTGGGCAGGTTCTCAGGGCACACTGTAAAACAACAAAAAAAATGGACTTGAGTCGTTGGAGATAAAAAAAGAAATTTAGTAGTTGTTTTCTATTTCTTGAAAAAATATTTTTAACCCTTCCTTATCCTGGAAAACAAACAAACAAACCCCTCAAAATTGCTGTAATTCCTGTGAAATTAAAGTACCTCCTATTTGCCATTGTTTAAAATAGGGTAGAAACTTTGAGTGCCAGAATTGTTGTTTCTGACTGCAGACATCACACAAATAGTCTCTCTTGTGCTTTCTCATTCACAGGGTAAAAAAAGCAATTTCAGTCAAATCTTTGTCACAATCATTTCATATTTCTTGATGTCAGCACCTGACTGTTCAACATAATGCCTCTTTTGTGGGCTATTCCGAGATTCTTATTTCTTATCACATGCCAGAAGTTAAACCAGGACATCTCATTTTAGGCTTCAAGGGTCTGTCACCAAGGGTTAGTCACTGCAGCATCTGAATGAATAGTAATAGAAAAGGTGACTATATACAAGACACGTCTGGATAGGAAGCAGTATCCCTAATATCTAAAATTCTAAGAACTTCCAAGATGACTTTGGGATTAAACCCTATTCATTTTTTCAGAACTTTTGACAATTTAAACAGTGTTCTCAATGTTATTTTATTAACATCAGCAGCTATCCTCTTGCAGTCAGTTGTAGTCTCATAGCTCTCAAGTGCCATCACAGGTCTGTTTACTATTCTTGTGAATTTTCCCTGCTGACATGTCTTGTGCATTTCCCGACTCTCCTGCATCTTCTTTTCTCTTTGTTTCGTGTTTGACTGTTCTTCACCTGTCAGGTGTCTCCTGGTGGATGATCTAGCATCCACCTTTTTAAATTCTGAAATCTAGTTCAAGTTCATTACTGGAATGTATTGCCCTGCGACATTTGTTTATTTAAACTAAACCTCATCTTTTGCTCTTTTGATATGTTTTCTATCCTTTCTGTTTTTTGTTTATTTTATTTCATGTCACCATGGCATTATGAATGTTGTACTGATTGCATGTCTACTGCTCTTCAAACCTTTTGTCTCATCTATTCAGCATAGTTACAGTTGGGTTTTCTATTTTCCTTCACAGTTCATAAATTGAGCACTTTCAAAATACGATGTAATTGAACTTATACTTCCCACTTATTTTAAAAGAAAAAAACCCTTAAATATGAAAAAAGCAACAAAAATAAAGTGAAACTAACATTTGTGGTTAGGAGCTTTCTATTTAACAGTAAATAATGCTAATATAATTATCTATATTTTTACTAAAAAATATAGATATAAATATATTTACAATTGAAACATTATCACCTTTAAAGAATTTAAAAGAAATATTTAAAATTTTCTAAAACTTTTATTTAAAATTTTCTAGGAAAATAATATATTTTTTGTCTCTTTAAAATTATTGTTTTTAAATCTCAGAAATACATTGACTAGAAAATCTAATTCTACAGAATCTGTTTGGGAGTTCATTAATCTGAGTGAAAGTGCCCTTATTTTCTGAGTTGTCAGCATCTTAACATTGCCTTTGACCTTTCTGATGTTCATTGTCCTAGTTTTGACTAGTTCCACTGTCCTAGTTTTGACTAGTTCCACTGATTTTATAGTTGGACGGGTATTGAAACTTTCCTAGGTCTACAAGGAAAACAAATACCTTCTTATCTTCACATGTGGCCCACCAAATATTCAGTAATCAAATTTGTCTCCATTTTCTCACATTCTTACAGTGATTCTTAAGATTTTCACTTTCCAAATATTTTTTGGTGAAAAAATTGCTCTCTTGTCATGAAAAATCAATAAAGACTATAATGGAAATTAATTTACTTCCAAAAAAACTTTTTTGCAAGTTTCATTATATAGCACCAGATGTCCGTGATAAATTTACCTTACAGTTTCCTTCAGTAAGAATTTCAATGAGGACCACCAGATAAATCATAATTTACCAGTTTCCTACACCTGTATAACCTTTCATTACAGCTGAACCCAAATGAGTGAATCATGCATATATGCAACTATAGTCAGTGAAACTGTAACTACAGCTGCTCAAATAATTCATAAGTTATTTCTGGTACCTACTGAATTTATCGAAATTTTTTGCAAGACTTCCTGAAAGCTAGGACAGATTAGTTAAAAAATATTTTGTCACTGTATCATTTGTATATTCCTTATTGTTATATGTATGTGATTCCCTGGCATTGAAGCTATAATATGTTAAAAATTAAGCAAATGTGAAAGATGTGTCAGGTTTTGAGTGTATGCATATGTATTGCTTGTATTGTAAATGTAGCAATTTTTAAATGTACCATTGCACTTAAGACAATTTATATTGACTTAAAAGAAAGAAAAGAACGGAAACCACAGGTCAGAGGCTGGATCTACACGTGTACTATATCTAATGCATAAACATAGACCTATTAGGATGACACATTAGAAAGGAATTTATTGAAATTCCCTTATTATCCTAAAAGAAGTAAAAGGTTAATTTAAAACTTATTCTGAGTGAAAGTAAGAGACATGAAAAGCATCAGCCTTCCTATAACTGCTAAAAACTCTGATATAGGCTATTACTGTCTGTTGTTAAAAAAAAGGTACTTAAGCCCACTAATCATTTCAACCAGAAAATGTTTTAAGCTTATCCTTATTAATAGTTTAGTTAACAGTCCTATGGCATAAACTAAAATAAAGCTCTTTTCTTCAAACACCTGGCAACATTACATTTTTTAAGAAATTTTTGGAAGCAACTTATTTTAGCCAGCTAAGTCACGAAAGTACATGAAAGTTCTCTAGCTACATGCTGCTTCTGCCATCTTTGAAGTTTTGACTTTTTCTTCTGTTATAAATGAAAAAGGCAGCAACCTTGTGGAAAATCTGATTTTGAGATGGAATGGAGCTTGTGTTTCACATGGGACCTGCTAGCAGCTTGGGAATTGAATACTGCTAGCAGTATCTGGGGAGTTTTAATCAGAAAGAACCGAAAAGAAAAAACTTTTCCTAAACCCATCTTCTAGGTGGCTCACAGTCTGCAATGATATTGATGCTGAAACACATTAAATTTTCATTTATCTACTTTAGGGAGTGAAATTCCACAGGGGTCTAAGACTTGTGCTGAATCAGTTGGCTTTTCTCCAGATCAGAAGCATTTTGGAACTACTGAATTCAGAAATGAAAGATTTTTCTGGCTAGATTGACCCCCATGTGAGATACTGAAGTCAGCGAGAAAATGCTTACTCAATGATTTCTCTAATGAAAAGCTGTAGGTCTTATATTGCTGTATTAAACTTCCTTTGCAGTTGAGTTATGTGAAAACCAAAGGCTTATTTTTCTCTTTTCTTCTAGTTAATTTTTTTTAATATATTAATGTATCTAAGTGATTAAATGTAGAAAAAATATGCATGAATCCTATCAGTTAAGAGGTATAGCAGACAAAGAAGGGTAAAAGATAATCTCATCTTCATGTTTACTCAGAATACCATGACTGCAGTTTCCTCTTTAACATGAAGCAGATTTTCTGTAAAAGAAAATTGTCAATTCCTTAGAAAAAAATATCTTCATTAATATTTTTGAAGTAGATTTTTGTTAGTATGGGAAAGAAAGTTCATATTGTACCAACAGTTGACTGTCTTTGTTTTGCATCTACTCTTTTCTTTTTTTTAAAAATAACTATTTTTCACACCTTTTTTTAAAGCGAACTGTTATTTGTTTCAGAATGTTATAGCCACTTGAGACATTTACATGACTCCTGTAGAATAATATTCATGTTTGTGATTATTTCCTATAGTAGAAAGAGTCAGTGCAGACCTTTTGGAATTGGTAGAGTACAAGTAATCAAGACTGTTAATCTGCAAGCTTGCAAAAGGTCATTGAACGAGAAAAAACTCTTTGACCATAAGAGATTAGAGTGAGCTTCTGCATTTCCTCTCCATGTGATGGTAATGACAGTAAAGTCCTGTCTATAGGATTAAATTTATGCATAGTTTCATCTCCTACTGACACCTAAAACATGTCAGATAAGGGAAGAGTTGACCCCTAAAAAAAACTTTTTTTTTTTTTTTTTTTTAATTTTAGCCAAGATATTTTGATCCCCTTTCAGAAGGTGATATAAATGCCAGTTTAACTGAGGTCAACTTTTAAGAAAAGGAAGCTTTGTCATAATTTTTGTTCCTTCTTGGTATGTCTGTTTCAAGTTTACTGGTGAAGGTTTATATTCTAGTTATTTCTTCTGATCAGACCTTTCCAAAAATAATATCCCAATATATCTCTATTGAAACTTTACAGATGATATCACATTATTTTTTTTCTCTGTACTTCCTTATAAATATCTTCATGTCCCTAAACTAATCTGCTTTCTTGACAGATTGCTTTGAATAGACACTAAATTCCAAGCCAAAATTGGTTATATTTCAGCAGGTGATCCCTGTACATCTGTACCTTATGATGCAAACAAGGTAGTAAATAAATCATTGCAGTATATTTAGTTGACAACTGGTAAGCAACTTAAACTGCAAATGAAAGCTGGATGTTAACATTATTAATAGGAAATTGATTATTTTTTTAATAATTGGAATTATTGAAACACAGAGAGAGTGAAACAGTATTTCCATTGTCTTGGAAATTACTGGCATTTCCATTATTTGAAGTAGGACGGCAGAGCATATTTTATACTTCCAAGTGCTGGCACAGACAATCAATTCAAAAGGACAAAGTATTGTGAAGGTGAGATACTTAATTTTGCGATTTAGTGTGAAACATGCTGCATTTCATGGCAAGCAATGCTTTTTTTTTTTACTTTATTCATGAAAAAAACCAACAAGAAAAACTATAAAAAATTGTGTCTGCTTTTCTCTCCAAATGATTAGAAGAAATATAAAAAAAAATTTTATGGGACAAAATCAAAGTGTGTCAAAATCAAATATGACTTGTACAATCGTGATCTTAAAGAAAAAAGGATAATCTTCTAAAAGTTTCTGAGTATCAGAATATATTCAGTCATTAAATAGGATAGTAAATTACTTTAAAAGAAAATTATGTTCATTTTGCTGAGAGCAGCATTCAGAATCTTAAAAAGGATAAAAAGGCATACATTAGGAAGAGAAATATAAAACATTAGCACTTTTTTCTTGAATATGTAGGACAGAAAAATCTCTGCTTTTCTTATTTTAAGTATCGCAAGATGGCAGTGTTTCAGAATACTTCCAGTTTCTCTGTTCTACATACTCTTAAAACTTGTTTGATTGATGTGTTCATCTTAATGACTGCATCTCAAGGTTTAAACTAGGCATGGGCAATATGTCAGGTTCTGGAGAGATCAACATCTTCTTATGAAGTTATAGAAAGTCTATTACAGGAAAGTTATGTAAAATGTGGAACTTGCTTTCAAAGGCCACTGGTATGTATTTCCTTACCTGAGTCTATACATTTTGGGATGGAAACAATTTTTGCTGGCAACAACTGACTCATGATTACTTTTGTTGAGGAGTGCTCCCTGCTTGTGCCCAGGTGATCCACCGACTCACAGAGACAGTGGCTGAAGCAGAAGTTCAGAGCTGAATCTGCAAGTGTTGAACAGTAATGTCAGTCCACTCATGCCTAAGGATGAGTTGGATGGGAGTTAGTGATAAAGAACAAATGAGTTTAATCAGCAATCAATCTCAAACGCTTCTGAATCAACAGGACACTCTCCTCTGCTAGTTCAAGTTTCTCAGTAGCTGTGATGGACACAGGATGGGAATGCATGATCAAGCAGTTTTCCGTTCAGGCATGATAATACAGTTTACTTACGTGGACAACTCCCAGTACCTAGACACAGCTAGGAAGAACTGTTAGCTCTTAAAGAGCTGCTGGCTTCTGGTAATCCTTATCTGGATGAGGCTTCCACAGGAGTGGTTCTGTGGAACCTCTTCTTTTCTGTTCCCAGGAAAAGAAACCATCTACCACTTCCTTGACTCAGCTCAGGATTATCAGCAACTTTTAGTTCTCTGTTAATAACACCCAAAATAGAGCTTCTAAATTAAGAGTACCTTTTGGTCAACATGTGTAAATATAAAGTTTTTCATATGAGTATGGTATTGGCACATAGAAAAGTGGGGGAGGGAAGAGAGTGAAAGAGAGAGGAAGAGAGAAAGAAGAGAACTTTTCAAATTCAACACAACACTGAAGGACTGATATAATTCTCCTCATTTTATGCAATTAGAAAGTGAATTGTTCTTATCTTCTCTTTTCCTAATCCTTTCAGAGACTTTTATTCAATCACCTTTGCTGCAAATTTCTTAGAGTTGTAATTGGATAATCTTCCAGACTCTAACAGACCCATTTGTCAGTGAAATTTTGGGGTTATAGTCTCTTTGATGAAATTAAGAAATGCCAAATTTACAAACAACTAACAAAATAAATGGTTTCTTTTTTTATCAGTTGAAACACCAGGTTATTAGTAAGTATATTCAAAGAACCCTGGCCAAGGTGAGCCCAGACAAATCCCAGTAGACAGTGAAACACTTGTGATATTCTACTAGTGATGGCAAAATCATATTTAGTGAGATACACCTATAAGTTTGGTCAGCATGTCACAAGGACCGTCTTGAAAGTCCAAAGTCCATTGGTTGTCTCAGAAACTCCACTCTATATGATGTGCATTGAACAAGCAGACCATATACCCTGCAACTATAGAGTAAATAGAAAAACAAAGGATCCAATGCAAATGTGGATGAACATGTAGGCTGATTTTGGCAGTCATTTTAGGCTTGGGGCAAAGATAGGATGAGTCAATGACCATACTATTCAGTTTATATCAAGTCCTCATATTTATATGGGGCAGAATTTCAACCTTCACATTTGCAGCGTTCTCAGAAAAGCAGTGGCAGCCACTGATATCTCCATTTTTGAAAATCAGGTTATTAATCTACGTTCCAAACTTTCCTCTTAGGAACTTGATTTTACAGCCTTGGTTCAAAGATTCAGAGAGCTTTTCCCTGCTTAGAAAATGTCATTATCTTCTACCTTTGTTCTTGATTCTGAATTCTAAATGCAAGATGTAAAGATATGTTCTTTGACACTAACAGATTTTACAATAATTCTGTACTCACCACAGAATAGCTGAAAACATTAAATACTAAAGAAAATTTATAGCTTAATTTCATTAAACATTCCAGGGATAACCGCTTAAGTACTGGAATACTTTAAGAACATACAGAACTAGCAGTCTCTCTGCATCTCAGCCCGCCACAAAGTTGATTATTATTTTAGGTGATTTTTATTATATCTACAGAAAAGAATGAAGTACAAGTTTTGTTTTGTTTTGTTTTGTTTTTTAAAAAAGGAAAGTATTGCATATGCAGACAGGAAAAAAATTTAGCAGAATTCAATTACTGTGGTAGAGAATTTGAAAAAAAAATTGAAGCGTTTATTTTTTGAGAAAGAATGAAAAAGATGAATGACGTTGATCTAATTAAACTCTGTAGGTGGAAGAACTATGTTATTGTGGAAGTAATAAATATTTGAAAATCCTTTCTTCATACAGAAAATTGGGAGAAAAAGTTGGTGATTCTAAACTGTGGTGGATATGTTTGGTATTAATGCAGAGAAAATAAAAATACACATGCTTTTAGGATTATTATTCACAAGACATATTCCTTAATTTCTCCTTTCTGCAGGCTTTCTGCATTTTTTTAAAGACAGTTTCCTGTCATGATATATATATATCTATATCTTCTATTTTCCTATTTCCAGTTAAATGATATAATTTTTCCCTTTGTATGTACACCACGTTCAGATAGTGTTGAGTGCTATAGTCTCTCTAGGATACAACTGCCATATTAAAAGTGTGTTGGGTAAGTTTTAAAAAACTTGCTGTTAACTTGCATTACAGCCAAAATGGTTTTGACTAAACTGGACAGGCATGACATAGAAAGTAGTGAAACAGTTACAGTGTGTGGTGTTTTGTTTTGTGCAGGTTTTTTTAATGTTTTAATTCCCTATTATTTGAACAAGATCAGACAAAATCGGTAAGAGAGAATTAAATTGTCCTGTATTGTATTCTGTTGCAAACTCCTCAGGTCAAAAATGGTATTAATAAACCTTCATTTCTTTCAGCTGGTTGTACTGAGAAGTTAATTTTACCAATGTATTTGGTGAAAAAAGCATTAGTTTGGTGGTTGATGGGAAAAGAGAAAAATAAGAGGTAACTGTAAAAGGTCAAGAATTGCAACAAGGGCTCAAGCCTGCATTACCCCAGCCTGTAGTACTGCATGGGGTTGTTGTGACCCAAGTGCAGGACCCGGCATTTGGCCTTGTTGAACCTCTTAAAATTGTCCTCAGCCCATCAATTCAGCCTGTCCCTATTCCTCTGTAGAGCCTTCTTACCATCCAGTACATCAACACTTGCAGCCAACTTCTTGTGATCTGTGAACTTGGTGAGAGTGTACTTGATTTCCTCATCCAGGTCATTGTGGTGGTTTGGACCTTAGTTTTTCCCTGAGGCTGAAAAGTGGTAGACCCCAAGGGGTGGTAACCCCTGGAAGTTTTGAAGTTCTGTCCAATGGGCGCTCCTGCAAAAATGTAAACATATCACAAGCACCAGAAGAGATGAGTTGTAGTTGGTTGTGGAAGGGTGGTGGCCATGTTGTAGAGCTACGAGGAAGGGGCTCTGAGCCCCTCGGGACCTCTGGGCCCTCCCAGCCCTGGCTGGGGGAAGACTGCAGAGACTTGGAACAGTCTTAGACTAGGCTAAGTGCCTGTAGTTATGCCGGGAGATGTTTTCTCCATGGGCGCAGAGCAGCAGCCGGCACTGACCAAAGAAACGGTGGCAGAGAGCCAGAAGAGATAAGACAGAGCAACAGAGACACGCAGCATTGCAGAAAGGACTCCTGGAAAGGGAGAGAGAGAGAGCCAG